TTTCCCTCCTTGTGGGAAAGAGCACCTGAGAAGGAAATTCACCATCACGGACTATGGGCTAAAGAGACACAGGGCAGTGTGGCCAGAGGGCTTGGCTCTGGTGTGCGGGCTCCGGGACTGACCTCCCCGGTGTTCTGATTCCTGCCTCTTGTAGTAAGCATCGTGTCCTGGTTGGCCTCCCATGTTTCCACAGACTTTGAGGCAAGGACTCCAGGGCAGATGGTTGGTTTGTTGGAGAGAAGATCCCAGCCCACACCAGCAAGGGAGTCGGGGAGAGACAGGGAAGGAAAGCAGCCAGCACAGGTGCCTCAAAGGGCAGTTATGGGCAACTTGGTCCAGCCCCACCTTGGCACACCCTGAGCTGTCCTACCGAAGAGAGGGGAGACTGAGAGATTCATCACCCAGCTCCCCATCGTGCTGTTTCAGGCTTCCTGCGTTTCAGCCAGCTCACCTTTCCAGCCAGAGAAGGTTGTCTGCGGAGGGTCCTAGGGGCTGGCTGTACCAATTAGCAATAATGACAACCACCACCACAGTAAGAAGGACAGCACCTGCTGCTGCAAGTCTCTGTCCACGCACCTGATTCGTGTCATATTATTAGTCCTCATGCAGCCCCGTGAGGCAGGGGCTATGATTGTCCCCACTTCACAGGTAAGGAAACTGAGGCTCAGAGCCGGTCAGCCACTTGCCCAAGCTGTCACAGCCAGGAAGGAGGGGTGTAGGGATTGAAGCCAGATTTATTCTGTATACTATCCTGACCGCATTTCCCCCCTTTTGGGGGTGGGGATGGGGGGTGGTTTATTCTGTAAGAGTCAAGTTCCCAGACATCTCTCCCCTGGGAGGGAGATTGTGCCCCTCTTACATGGTGGTTCTTAAACTCTGGAATGCACTAGCTGGAAATTCACATTCAGCTACTGAATCAGAACCTCAGAGGGCAAACCTTGGGGAGCTGACTTGGGTGGAACCATGCATATGCTGGAAAAAAGATTCTTCATAAGCCGGACATAGGGTCTGCATTGTGCAACAGTTTGGCCTCGGTCCCTGTGACTGCCCTCCAGGGTCTGTGTGGTTTTGGCACTTAACTAGCCCTGCGGACTGGATGGGCAGGTCCTGGATGTGTGGGCACGAGTTCTGGCATCTGGACTCCGCGTGAAGCGAAGAGCCTGCGTGTCGGAGCCGGTTCTTTTGGGCGTTCTGCATGAGCTGCAGTTGTGCTCCCACGCCTCGCTCTGCCCTCTGAGGCGGAGGGACTTCCACGCCACAGGCTGTTGGCTGCCACTGCAGTCACCTGGCTTGAGACGACTGTGGTCGCTGCCAGTGACCAGGACTTTCCCCTGGATGCTCACTCTGCTCGCTTCTACCACATCAGCGCCCCCCTCTCTGTGTGTAACCTGAGTGTCCCACCCTCCCAGCAGGGAAGGAGACCTCCCATCACTGCCTTGGGTGGCTATCTCCAATAGCTAGAGCCTTTAAGTAAAATCAGAGGCCACCACCGACCCAGGTATTCTGCCAGGGCCAGTCAGGTCCTCTGTTTTTCCATCTGTAAGATGGGAATGATAGTAATACCTACTTCATAAGGTTGTTCTAAAGATCCAGTGGCACAGTGTCTATGAAATGTGTAGTACCATGGCTGTCAAATGAGTCTTCAAGGAAATGGTAGATGATTATTGGGATTGGAAGATGATGATGACAAAGATAAATATAGATTGATGGGGGAAATGTCTTTCATAGCATGAAGTGGGCACTGTTGAAGTGTCTACCCACTCTTGGGCCACCCAGGGCTGACCCTTGAGAGTGGTATGGCAGCAGTCTCTCTCCAGAGTTAATTTCCTGGCTGCCAAGGATAATGTCTTTTCAGTAGCTGCCCCATCTCATCTTACAATCTGGTACCCACAGTACTCAGAGCTTTCTGAACCACTGGGGCATTCCATCCATCCACCCACCCATTCACCCACCCACTGATCCATCTACCTGTCCATCCACCCATCTATCCACCCATTGACCCATCTACCCATCCATCCACCCATCCACACACTCATCGATCCATCTACCCACCCCTCAATCCATCTAACCATCTACCCATGCACTGTTGTGGCAAGGGAGCATCCCCGAAAGGTTTATTAGGGGAGAACTCCCCAATAAGCCAATAGAGTCCCATGCTGGTTACACACAGAGAGGGGGAGCTTATGGTAGACGTGAGCATCCAGGGGAAAGTCCTGGTCACTGGCAGCGACCACAGTCGTCTCAAGCCAGGTGACTGCAGTGGCGGCCAACAGCCTGTGGCGTGGACTTCCCTCCGTGCTCTGAGCGTGACCGTGCTACAGCCAAGCTTGAATGTTGAATGGTCAAAGCTCTGAGTTCTTATAGCCCCCGAGGGATGGAGATCCCACTAATATCGGAGTCCTGATGGAGCCTTCACCCAAATGTCCAGACTTGTGGTTTTGGGTGTTCCTGTTATTCTCCATACCTCAGTCCTGACATAGTGCCTGACATGACTATCACAGCCGACAGTGACTCCATATTGGTTTGTAAAAGGTGTTCAAAAAGTCCACTCTGCTTTTGCTCTATATACCCATCCACTCATGCAGTCACTCATCTGTCTGTTCATCTGTCCATGCATTTGTGCATCCACCCAACCATCTATCTATGCATCCGTGCATGCATCCATTGCTAGGTTTATCCATGTATCCATCCATCCATCCATCCATCATCCATCCGTCCTTCTCTCTCTCTCTCAGGTTGAAGTGCCACAACAAATGCACCAAAGAAGCCCCGCCCTGCCATCTCCTCATCATCCACCGAGGAGGTAAGTGTTTAACACTTGCTGCCAAGAACCAGCAATGCGGAATCAGCAGGGAGC